GGGTCCAGAGGAGGGCCACCCGCATGATCCGGGGACAACAGGGCAGACCCTACAGTGAGAGACTGTGGGACCTGAACCTATTCAGCCTCCACAAGAAAAGGCTGAGGGGGGACCTGGTGACCGTCTATAAACTCACTAGGGGGGACCAGCAGGGTTTGGGAGAGACCTTGTTTCCCCTAACGCCCCCCAGGGTAACAAGGAATAATGGCCACAAGTTGTCTAGTTTAAACCTACTCTCCGACATCAGGAGGCGCTACTTCACGGTCAGGGCGGCTAGGATCTGGAACCAACTTCCAAGGGAAGTGGTGCTGGCTTCTACCCTGGGGGTCTTTAAGAGGAGGCTTGATGTCTACCTGGCTGGAGTCATTTGAGCCTGGTTTTTCTCCTGCCCAGGCGGGGGTCGGACTTGAAGATCTACAAGGTCCCTTCCGACCCGACTTCTATGATTCGATGATTCTATGTGTTTTGGACCTCATATAGCAACAGGTTACAGCCTCTGGTTCCAAAATGAGGACAGCATCATGACAAGACTTTGTGGAAATATAGAAAAAGGGTGGGAGGGTTTGAGATGTCAAATCTAGTCCAACCCCCTGCTCAGAGCATGATAATCCCTGTCTATACCATCCCAAACCAATGTTTGACTAACCTGCCTTTAACAATTCCCAGCAACGGAGATCCCATAATCTCTCCTACCAATGTCTTATATCACCCTCATCATTAAAAAGTTCCTTCTCATATCCAACAGAAGCAGGCAAAATTTAAATTTGGCAACCCTTGGCCAGCGAACCTGTTCAAGATTTGGGCGGCTGGAGACCCAATAACCTGGAGAAGGCAAGTGGAGCCTGCCCCACCTCACAGTGCAAGGGTTGGACCTACCTAGCAGGAGATACAGGACCCACAAGTTGAGGTCACTACAAAGGACCACTGGCGACAAAGTAGAGGCTCTCCTCTCTCAGAGTTAATAGCACCCCACGTCTAAATGAGTTGTCGAGTTATTGTCCAGTTGTAGGCTCTGTCTTTGGATAAAACTGAAACCTGAGGTCCAGGCCACTTCAAGTCAGGGAACAGCACATGAAGGTTTTTGACGAGTAGAAAGGAATTAGCACCTTGCAACCTGGGGCCCAAATCCTGTTCAGGTCATTATTTTGCACCCACCTCAAACTCCCTGTATCACTCCAGTTGCAGGACACCCTGCAATGGCCTCCCAAACTGCTGTATGGGGTGGCTGCGGCCTGCTATAGTACTATGTCTTATGCAGTAACACTTACCACAGGAATGAAAGGCACACAGAGCATATGCAGCTGGACCCCCGTCCCAGGCAAAAGATCCTGCCGACAGTCGCCCTTTAATGGAGGAGCCCAAACCTCACCTTGCTGCTATCGTGGCGACGTTTTCCATCCAGGCCATGATCTGCCCACCAAAGGTGTTTCCCTGATGATTGGCATGAGGGGGCAGCACTAGCTCCACACTCTCCACCCGGGTCTGTCCAGCAGGCACCATAGTCTTGCAGTCTCCGGTCTCATGCTCTGGGATAGAAGAAACATACTGGCTTATCACAGCAGCATGAAAAAAGGGGCCTGCTAGGCCGATGAAAGGCTTAGTGGTGCAAGTCATTGCTTGACCATTATCTACAAAAACCTCATGTCCCCTCTTCTCCCACAAGGCCTGAGCATTTCCCAGCCCACAGCCACACTGAATCCAGAACAGCTCCCTGTTTCACCTGTGTAACAGCTACTATGCAGTCAGGTGAGGGCTACCTATGAACCTTTCCCCCACTCAAAGAAAACACCATGTTTCCTTAACATGGGGCCTGGAGACCTTGTACCCATTGAACCCGTGGAGTAAAACATGGCTATGCACCTTTCACACAGCCCTTGAGAGGGCCACGAAGAAGCAGGTCCTGCCAACCCACTCTACCTGGGCCAAACCTGGCAATGAGGAAAATCTCCTCCTCCTCCCTGTTGCAAATCTCAAGCACACAGACAGGGGGCTCAAAAGCAGAGTGTGTGAGCGTGCGTGTGTGCGCGTGCGTGCGTGCGTGCAAGTGGGGGGGGGGGATGGACCAGCCCTTCAGGGCAGCTTCACTGCCTCATTTATGAGCTTGGCATGAGCAGAGCACAAGCACACGATGGGTAGGGCAAGACTATCCTTGGGAACGTTCTCCATTGCTCCGAGGGACCGGTTCACACGTACCCTCGGCCCAGGGATCAGGCCTGACTAGCCTCTGCAGCCTGGCCTAACATCCCCACCAAACGCCACTTGGTCCTAATGGCATGTCCCACCCAAGAGACTCCAAGCCCATTGCTAATGTTAGCAAATGGCCTTGAACACAGCTGTGAAACAGGTGTTATCCCCACTGGGTAAGAAGAGAGGGCAGCAGAAGTTGCCCAAAACCGGGTCAGTGGTAAAGCCTGTAACAAGGCCCTGCTGTGCCACCTTGTGCTGTAGACCATCCTCCCAGGAGCCTGCCAGGACGGGGCGGCACCAATAAGCCTTCTGGTGAAAGTAATAAGCCAAGCCAAAAACGTAACAATGCCTCAATAAGCACATTTGAGACAATTAGCACGTCACAGGATTGGGGTACAGGCCAGACTTGTTAGACACTTGACAGAGATCAAAGGCTGGAGAACAGTGTACAGAGCCGACAGCTAGGAAGGGCCACATTTTCGCCCCATCTCTACCAGCGAGTCGCTGCGTAGCGATGGCAAGTTCACTTTATGCGTTGCCTGTGGACAATACTTAGTGCCCCGCTTCACAGAGATACTGTGAGAGACAAGTGGTCTGCCATGCATGGAAGACCACCTCCAAACTCCAGGGTTTTATAAGCAAATGCCAGATGTGAAACTGCTTTGCTGCAGACAGATGTGCCCAGACTGTTCTCTGTCCCCAGCTCAAGGCAATCGGGCCAATGCCCGGCACAGACTCCCACGGGACAGAGGGATGACAGACCCACAGGATAAGTTACCAGCTTGGAAGGAGCTGCTACTAAGAAGATCCTTGATGGTATCAGTGTGGACCAGCCTCATGCGGCGGCGCTCGGCTGCAATGCTGTATTCGGTCTTCTCCTCTTCTGTCTGAGGAATCACTGGCTTCAGTTTAATCTAGGCACAAAGGGACAGGACAGAGTCTGTATTCAGCTTTGCTCCTACCTGGGCTGTTTCCCAGGGAAACACTTCAACGGGAACCCTGAGGAGCATGCAAGACATCACTACCAGGCTTTATCTAGAGCAGGGCTGGCCAACTGGTGGCCTGTAAAGGGTTAATCTGTGGCCCCTGGATTCCCACCCAGCTGCTGATTCCCCACTGCTCCAGCTGCAGTAGCAGCCAGGGTTTCTGCCCCCCTCCAGCTCCTACTTCCTGCCCCCACACAACAGACAGTGCAGTACAATGCAGTGCAGCCCATGGTGCCTGCAAAGCTTGCAGTCAGGGACCTGAGGGTAAGACTAGGGTGCCAGTGTGTACCTGGTACAGTGGGAGAAGGAGGGACCATGCAGGGTGCAGCCTGGTGGGCCCATGGGTCATGCTGGTATGGCCCGTGTAGCATGTGGCCCCTGCTGGTGTGGCCCACAGGGTATGTGGCGATAAAAGATGGACACCTCTGATCTAGAGAGCTCATGCATCTCAGTGGTTCCCAAACCATGAATGCACCACTGCAGGTGGCAAACTTGGGTCATGCCAAGCCAGACCAAAGGTCCACCTAGCTCAGAGTTTGGTCTCCAGCAGTGGCCAGCAGAAGCTGCTTTGTAGGAAGAGCGGAAAAACACAGGGCATGCGTAGCTGATTGCACAGAGCTTCCCCGTTTGCCATGTCACACATCAGGAAGAGTGCACAGTGGTCCACTGCCTTGGTTCAAGAGGTTTGGGACCCTGGTCTAGATGATACTTCTAGTCATGGGCCCCAATGTCCTGGGTGAACTGGAAAACCTTTCTATAAGGGGCAGCTCCTCCATGACACCGTCTTCCAAAAGAGCCCAACTGCACAGTATTCGCAGCATCAATACGTTCTTTGTATCCAAAGCCTGTTTCATCAGAGGACCATGGTGCTCTTTACCAATACGAATGATGACTTGTATTACTGTAGCATGTACGGACCTCAACTGTGGCCAAGGCCCCGTTGTGCCAGGCTTTGTAGAGACACACAGCAAGAGACAACCCCTGGCCTGGAGATCTTATGGTCAAATAGAGGAGGCAAAGGATGAAAACAAAAGCATAGAGACTAGCCGTCACTCAACAAGTTAGAGGCAAAGCTGGGCATCAAACTGGGCATCCAAGTCGATGGCCAGTGCCCTGCTCTGTTAGGCCACATTGCCTCCGTATCAGTCGGAGCTATAGTAATCTGCTAAGCCACAAGACACCTATGTAGGAGGTAGGGAAAGCCCAACCTGATTTCAAGGAGGCACCAGGGTGGCATGAAATGGCTCGCCTACAGGTGACAAGAGACTTGAAGCAAAACCAGGATTACCATCTGGATCTCCTGAGTCTCAGGCATCCTCCTCTTAAAGGAAACCCTCCTTCAGCTACTGATGTGAATCTGGAAAGCTGTGTGCTACATGGCCGCTGGCTGACTGCCACACACTGACCTGGGACGGGAAGCGGAGGTTGCTTCAACTGGCTGGAGGAGTTTGGTTAAAAAAACATTCCCCAAATAGCAATTTGGCTAGGACACCGCGGCTCTCCTCCAGGCACCTGCACTGCAGGGTTTTAATAACCACCAGAGGTCAGGAAGTAAGTGTAGTTATTACAAGAATATTTGAATCCTGAGTGCTTCAGGAAAAGCACAGAAATGCCATTTGTTTGTTAATATTTATAGAGAGACTTAACAACCCTTTGAGAATCTAGGCCTCACTATAAACAGGGCCCAGCTAGGGAGGCAGCTAGTCAAAAAAAGTGTTTATACAGATGTCCAGCAAATCCTGCAGTATTATTGTTTTGCATTTGCAGTAGGGTAACACCTAAAGGCCAGTCAGACCCAGGCTTACAGTTATTACACATACGCACTCAATAGAAGACAACCTAGTGGATCCTCTTACCTCCACGCCAAAGGACTGTGATAAATGCTGCAAAAGTACAAGCAAGAAACTTATTCTGTTAGAGCCAACAATTCAAATGCAGTGTTGCAAGTGTCACGCCAGGTGTGTACCATTCAAGGTGCCACATTAGGGATATTCAAAGTCAAGATCAAAACACTGAGTCACCCAACACCTGATGACAACCATGGAAATCTTTGCAAGAGATCTCAAGGCAGACCCTGGAAGCAGTTCCACACAATGCCAGCAACTTGATTTCTTCCCCATGACCCAGAACTAGAAGTGACAGCAGCTCTAGCTTCGGAGGGGGTCTTCTCTTACCTTAGTGTTCGATGTGCTTTGTGCAACAAAGGTAGCATAAGCTTTGCACACGTTCCACTGCTCGCCGCTGCAGAGATCTTCATAGCTGACCTGGATCCCAACCTGGAATGGAGTCCAAAAGAGACACTGAACTACACAGGACCAGTCAATTCACAATGGCTTCAACTGCTCCTATGGAATAAAAGGAGGTGGAATAAATGAACCTGGGAAGTGTCACAAGCTTCCTTCCCCAAATAATGCAGGATATGAAGAGGATGCACTGACACAGGACCTCTATTCCCATACTGAGGGTCAGCAACTCATTTGAGATGGGGAACAGCGAGGGCAACTATTGCTTGAAGAGTCCTGCTACTTTCTAGTGATGGGATCACAGAACTAATTCCTTGGAGAGCAAAGCAAGCCAAATACTCCAGATCAGACTGTTTCTCCCCAAGCAAAGCAACGGAAACAAGTCTAAGACGGGGAGTCAGCAGACATCTGGGGCAGCAGGAGAAAAATGGCTCTTCAGGGATTCTTACAGCATTAAAAGTATCACAATAAACAGATAAAAGAACAAGAGAATGACCTCTAAATAGGTATATATGCAGCCACATTGGGCTAAATGCACCTGACCTTGGATGCTAGGCAGCCTTGAACTTAGCTAGCTCTTGGATGGGACACCACTTTGCAAACCCAGGCACTGTAGATCCAGGCCAATGGAGGTGTGTCCAGAGCGCCTGGATCACAGAAAACTGGACTGTAGAAATCGAATGGGCAGCAAGACATCACTCGGCCCCATTGTCACTACCACAATGATGGATGGGAAAGGAAGGAGGGTTGGGTCGGTAGTACCACTAATACAAGCGTTCACTGTGTGGACAGAGAAGCAGCAGAGGATGCAGGTAATGGGGTAAGGCATACAAACCTCCATGCTAGAGTTAAAGGCTCGGTTTACTTTTGCTTTGATGTTCACAACTTGCCCAATGCTGAAAAACAAAACAAAAAACAAATAAAACTTTAAAAAAAAAAATCAGAAAAGGTGTTACTGTGGGATCAGAGGGAAAACAGCCCACATGTACAAAACACACATTCACCTAAAAAGCAGTTCTACCTCCCTGGCAACCAGTCCCCGATAGTGCTGCAGTTAAGGTCTATAGGGCAAAATAGCTCGCTTCCAGAAAACAACAGCGGATGTCCTATTAGCAGCTACTCTTACTTCCTTGGGACTGTGCATGAGGGTCACCAGGACAGTTCAAGGAGGGGTAGGGAACCATAGGTATCCTAGGGATTTATGAAAGGTAAAGGCTCTTCCGTGGGTCCCAGCACAGAGAGGCAACTGGGCCCAGTCCTCATGTCCTTTTCCAGTACAACAGAGAGGGCTCACAGATGAGATTTCCTGCTTGAGTAATTTTACATTTAAATGGTATCCAGGTCCTGGGCTGTGACTCTGGGTAGGAACATAACAGCTGGCTTCTCTGCCCAGCCTGAAAGGTACCTGCTGTGATTAATGCAAGCGGGCAGGGGACACAGCCACATCCTGCCATTTAATATGCAGTCACAGGAGTCCCAGGGAGGAACGGCATAGGCTGTGTCAGGAAAGGTGGGAGAGGAGACAGGTCAGATTTCACCGAGACAGAGCCAATTTAGCTTCCACATCTGGAATTCTCCTGTCTACCCAGCAGGAGTGTATTTATTAACAAGGCCTGTTCTCGAATACTTTGGATGCCAGTTGTACTTGCTGGAGAAAGAGACCACAAAAGCTGGAAACCAGCAGTCCTTTTAGACAAAGTGGCCCCTTTCTCCAAGGCAATAACAAATGCAATAGCTTCTCTAGCAAGGTTTTAAGTCGAGTTTAAGTATCCGCAGACAGCTATGCATGCACACACACACTCACGTGCGCGCGCACACCGACCCTTTCAGGCTAACAAATCAGTGGCTGTTAAATCAGTAAGTGCAGTTAACTAACATCATTGATCAAAACGGGCTAGCCTTTGCCAACTGCTTGATGAAAACGGGAATATTCCTTCCCTATTTTGGAAGGAAATAAAAAGAAAGATGCTAGAAAATTAAATGCAAAAATCTTTTGTTAATGCCACCGTCAGTTCATGCCCCAGTAAGTGCTCAGGTAAGTTTGAATACACAACCTTAGTGTTTCCCATGCCCCGGTGCATGACAGTTAAGACTGCTTCATTCAGCTCCACTTATTTCAGCTACCAAAGCTGAGATGCACACAACCCGAACTACTGATTTTCATACATCCCCCACCCCTCAAGACTAGGCACACAGCTTGAAATCTAGTCCAGTTTTTCAAAGCGGGTTCAGATCCAACCCCTTCCTTGACTGCCCCCACTTGTATTTTGGGGATTTACAATCCCACTGTCCTTGTTTCTCAGTCATTTTTCTTACCTTCCTTGCTGTGTGAACAGAGCGTGGAGAATGCTAGACCATAGCGGGGAAACTGGCTATACCCAAAAGCAAACCTGAGAAAAGAGGGACATGTTCCTCCCATAACACCACTTTAAGTTACAGTCATCTTAAGTGTGACTTGAAGCAGTACAGCAGTGGGTGCCGGACCCTGCTGCATTACAGTCGTGGCACAAGTACACGTCACAGCCCGTACCACTGCACGGGCTGGCAGCGCAGTTCCCAGGGGTGACCGCTGCATCAAGCTTGTGAGCAAGGAGAGGCTGTAAAACTGTACCCCGCCTGGGTGGGACCTGTTCGTGCCTAAAGCAGGGGGTCACAACCCTATCAGAGTCACAGCATCTCCACAACATTTCTGAATTTGGAGGCAGCCCCAGTTGAGAAGCAGCGTTGCACTGGCTCAGCTTACCTCAATGGTTCTCAACTGGGGGCTGCCACCACCAAGTAAGGGGCACCAACTGTGTCAGGGACAGAGGCCTCCATTTCTACTGGTTTGGGGAGACTGGAAACAATCAGCTGTTCACAAAAGTGGGTCCTTAGGTCTGGGAGAAGGGATCTCCAGTCATCCATTTTCTCAGCAAGCCAGCGCAGTGAACAGCCAGCTCACCCTACCGTTTACATGCACGGCTCTCTCAGTCAATCATATCCCCTTAGGAACACCAGCTCCCTTAGACGCCAGTGAAAACAACTTTTATGCCAACGCCAAGTTAATCTGAGGATTACTGAAACATTAAAAGATTAAGAGAACTGCCTCGGTGCATGTAAAAGCTGGTAGGTATTGAGTGCTCATGTCAGTCAGGTTAATGCGACTATTCACAATGTCACTAGGTTAGGGCTAGCAACAAGTCTAAGTCTACTGCTTTCACTTTTGCAGTTGTTCCTACCAGAAATTGTCCTTCCCATGGTGTTGCCAAGGAGATACTATATGCATCTGTCTGATACAAAAGAAAGGCAATGTTTGGGTAAAAATATATACAGAGAGAGAGCTCCATGACCATACATTGTACACGTGCAGAACTACTTTGATCACTTGGGAGGAACTGCACCTCTCTCTGCTTTGTAACTGGGCTCATGTAGAGTGACTATCACCCCTGCAGGTTACAGCCAGGATCAAGGCCCCTGTGGGAGCTGTACAAGATCACAAGACACGGGTTTTGGTTCCAGGGGCTCAAAGCCCACCTTTATAGTTAGGTGCAGGAGTTAAATGTACATTCAAAGGGTGTGCGGGCAGGAGGATCCCAGGAAGAGGAGGTGGGACAACCAGGAATGCAGTTGACCACGTGCCACACTCGATGTACAGTGTTTAATCAACGGTCTCAAAGCAGTTTGCATTCTGATTTTTGCTGTTGATTGCTTCATGTACAGATCTGAAGGGTCAGGGACTCCGAAGGCACCTAACCCCATTACACCCAATAAAACTTTATCTTTCCACTTATTGCTTCTTATCGACTGATATAGCCCTCTGCTGTAAAAGCTGCAGGCTGGTTAAGGGTGCATGAAATAGCTCCTGTAGTTCTCTTCTTGAGATAGATCCAAAGACAAGCCCCTTACACACCTACACACCAGGGCATACACCAAGGGGTCTTGTCTATTTGCAATCTAGTGAGTCAGTTATTTGCTAAAAGATAAAAGAAGAGTCATTTCAGGTCCTGCACCTGATGCCATTCCCCCCTCCCCTTCCCCCAACTTCCTTTGCTGAGCTCTGCGGTTTTACAATCACATTTTCCTAGCTTTTAAAACGTGGGTCTCTCTCCCTTCATGGGTGTATGGGAAGGGAAATGAAATGCACACGAAGAAGCCAACCAGCTCTGGCCCTGATCCAAGGCTCACTGGAAATAATGCAAAGGCTCCTCTGGTTTCTGTGGACTTTGAAGCAAGCTCTCCCCTGGGAGCCTAGTTAAAATATAAGATTAGGAGGACTCAGGCCAGTTAAGATTCAAGTTCTCCCCGGGACGTCCTTAAGCAATGCTTGCAGGGGGGCCCTCCAGCCCACTGAACCAGCTGCAGCTGTGGACAGATGCAGCTTTCCAAGGGGTCAGACTATTGACCCAGAAGGGTCTGATAGCTTCCATCGGCAGGTCAGCAATCAGTAATGCCAACAGCCCTGCAGTAGCAATTGCTGAAGGTAGGACCAGTATAATAAAAATGTCCACAGAGCTCGATTCTGCCTCCCCGGGTCTGAAGCATCAGTAAAATCAAAGTCGATGAGGTTCTTGAAGTAGCATCTTGCTGCAGGTAGATTCATCCACAACTACGTGAAGAGTGTGCTACAAGCCAGGAGCTGCACAGCTATATAACAACTCAGCCCATAATACTGTGTCCCCTCCTAGTCCCACCCTGCGGATCTGCTCTAAGAACGGAGAACGCCTGGTCTATGCGAGTGCTGGCAAACAAATCATCAGGGTCCTAACTCAGACCTGGCTGCAGGGTTTGGCACAAATTGTTTCCTCTCCACCACCTCTGCCTCTGCTTGGGCTCAGGCAGGAAGGGGCCTTGCTCTAGCACTCATGGCTCTGGCTTTAAGTCCCACCACCAACCAAGGAGCGTTTGCCTGGAACTACAGGCTCCCTACATGCGTCAAGTGGACCCCATGCCCGAAAAGCAGGGACCGCGCATACAATTAGACAGTCTTTACCACTGTGCGAGAGCTTCAAATGGTTTACTCCCACCTCCATGGGCAGCAGGATGACCTCAGCCTCTCCACTGAGGATGCCATGGCAGATTCCACTTGATTACACAGCGTATTAGACCAGAACGGACCTCACCCCTCAGACAGAGGCAGCATCTCCTCTGCAGTGTTCCCAGACAGAGCCTAGGCCACTGCGACTAGCAGCATTGCATACAGTGACTGTATATGAGATCACAGGTCTGTCCTTCCTTCCCTGGCTTGGGATGGATTCCCAGTAGGCTGGATTTCTCTGCCAGGACTTCCAAGTGCTGTCGGAGGACTCTGCTTGCATCAAAATCAGCTACTGAAAATCAGAGCATCATCATTCCCTCCCTATCCCCTATGCTACTGCTCCAGAGTGGAAATGCAGCAGAAAAGACTGGAGGTGGTTTTAGCTTTTCTGTCTACCAGAGTTTTTAAGTAGGTCAGACAAGTCATAAGTGTTACTGAGCTCTGGATTACACACACACACACCCCTCTTTGGCTGAGAAGAGCTTTATAGGAAGGTGCACGCATGAACACACACACACACACACACACACTCCTCTTTGGCTGAGAAGAGCTTTATAGGAAGGTGCACGCATGAAAACACACACACACACACATACACACACACACACACCCCTCTTTGGCTGAGAAGAGCTTTATAGGAAGGTGCACGCATGAAAACACACACACACACACATACACACACACACACACCCCTCTTTGGCTGAGAAGAGCTTTATAGGAAGGTGCACGCATGAAAACACACACACACACACATACACACACACACACACCCCTCTTTGGCTGAGAAGAGCTTTATAGGAAGGTGCACACATGCACACACAAAGACACACACACCTCTGGCTGAGAAGAGCTTTACAGGAAGGTGTTAAGCTCTTTAACCAG